CCCCATGCTGTGTTTCATTTTCAGGGACTACCAGGAAGATGCTGCACTTTGAGATTTCCAAAGAAGGCAGTGATCTGTCAGTGGTGGAGCGTGCAGAAGTCTGGCTCTTCTTAAAAGTCCCCAAGGCCAACAGGAACAGGACCAAAGTCACCATCCATCTCTTTCAGCAGCAGAAGCACCTGCAGGGCAGCTTGGATACAGGGGATGAGGCAGAGGCAGTTGGCTTAATGGAGGAGAGGAGTGAACTGTTGATATCAGAAAAGGCAGTGGATGCTCGAAAGAGCACCTGGCACATCTTTCCTGTCTCCAGCAGTATCCAGCGGTTACTGGACCAGGGCAAAAGCTCCCTTGACATTCGGATTGCCTGTGAGCAGTGCCATGAGACTGGTGCCAGTGTTGTGCTCCTGGGCAAGAAGAAGAAGAAAGAAGAGGAGGGGGAAGGAAAGAAAAAGGCTGGAGGAGAAGGAGGGGTGGGAGGAGATGAGGAGAAGGAGCAGTCCCACAGACCTTTTCTCATGCTGCAGGCCCGGCAATCTGAAGACCACCCTCATCGGAGACGGCGACGGGGCTTGGAGTGTGATGGCAAGGTCAACATCTGCTGTAAGAAACAGTTCTTTGTTAGTTTCAAGGATATTGGCTGGAATGACTGGATCATTGCTCCCTCTGGCTATCATGCCAACTACTGCGAGGGTGAGTGCCCCAGCCATATAGCAGGCACATCAGGGTCATCGCTCTCCTTTCACTCAACCGTCATCAACCACTACCGCATGCGGGGTTATAGCCCCTTTGCCAACCTCAAGTCATGCTGTGTGCCCACCAAGCTGAGACCCATGTCCATGTTGTACTATGATGATGGGCAAAACATCATCAAGAAGGACATTCAGAACATGATAGTGGAAGAGTGTGGGTGCTCGTAGAGTGTCCAGCCCAAGGGGAATGGGAACAAGAGTTGTCCAGAGAGGACAGTGGCAAAATGAAGAAATGTTTAAGGTTTCTGAGTTAAACAACCAGAAAAGTAGAAATTAAAAAAATAGTAAACTAAAAACAAAACCTGAAACAGATAAAGGAAGATGTGGAAAAATTCCCTACCTGGGGCTCAGAAATGAAGCAGTGAAGGAGGTGGGAATTGAGAAGGAAAGGGAACGGAGCATCCTTTATTTCTTCTGATATCAAAGGGATGATATCAGTTGCTTGAACAGGAGTATTGTTGTCTCCTCTTCAGTTCCCTTTCAGGGTGAGCCTGGAAGTCAACTTGTCTATTCTGCAATAATGTGGGGTAGCATGACCCGAATAGCATCTAGAAAGCTATGAGTTTGAAAGGGCCAGTTACAGGCACTTTCCACCCAGTTACCCAGGTCGTAAGGTATGTCTGTGTGACCCTCTCTCTGTGTATATCAGTGTGCATACACACACACTATCCCCCCCCACACATATGCACATATGCCACAGACCCCGCACACTCAGACACCCTCCCTACATACACACACACACACACACCACATATAGAGGCATTTCTACACACCCACATACATACATGTATTGGTAAAAGAACATAATGTGCAGGTGGTCACACTTCCTTTTTCTGCAACAAAACAAAACAAAAGCCAACATAAAAAATTGAGAAACAGAAGAGAATAGTAAAGGATCAAGGAAAAAAGAATACCAAGTTATATTTCGTTAAGGTGCTTATGATCTTAGAACTATGCAACCTAAATAGGTTTGAAACTGTTTACCTGAGAGAGAACAAAACGAGAGACTTTTTGGTATTGGAAGTAACCTGATTAATTTTTATTTTCTTCAAGGAGAGATACTTGAAAGGAATATGTTTGTCCATGTGTTGGATCCAAACATTTCTATATTTTGTAAATGTGTTTTTTTTTTTGTTGTTTTCTTTTTATCGTTTACTATTTGCACTACAATGGTGTTTGACCTGTCCAATCCTTATTTAACAAGTATTTTCTTTGGGTGGGGGTGGGAGGGTTAAAAGCTGCATTTAATGTGAGCTATAAAAGAACTGCTACAGCACACAAAATAGCTATTTTTATTATTATAATTATTATTATTATTTTGTACCTTAAAAATAGACACATACACCAAAGACATTTGTGTGAGCCTTTAAACAGTCTGTTTGTGGTTGGTGTTATTCACCATCAATGAGTCAGGGGTTGGGATTCAAGGTTGAGTAAATGGTTTGTGTTCAGGCTTAAAAGACCTGAGAAGTTTGATTTTTTACTCCTTTTATATCCATGAAACAGGACATTTCATACTGGATGTACAGTAGTTGTACACTGTTGGAAAGCAAGTTTAATCAAATTCATGACATGCTACATGCTTGTATATGTATATATACATTGCTTGTGCATATGCATATCTGTGTGTATATATGCATGTATTACATCATGTCCATACACATTTTAAGCACTTCCAGCTGTCATTTTTAAATGTTTTTAAAGAAATGAATGTTTGTGTGCAAAACACAGTATTTTTAAGAAGAGGTTATAGTTTTTGCTTTTACTCTGAACTAGGTGGGCACATTTCAAAAAATTTGATTGGAAAAAGCCTGGAAATTCCAGTGAATAATTTAGCAAGGCCCTCTTTCAATGTTCAGAGATCCAGGTCCCTCCTCTTCCTTGCCCCCACGCCCACTCTACAAGTTATTCCCTGCTGGAAAAACAGGAAACTCATGTACATCAAAGCTCTAGACTGGTTTTTTGGTGTGTTTTTTTTTGTTTTGTTTTGTTTTTTTGCAGCTTAATTTATTATCTATTGGAATCAATCTTAAATCAGAAGCTTTTTCAGAAAAAATAGTAACTTTTAGTCCAGAATAGAAGAGATAAGTGCAATTTTTTTATTTTTTTTTTAATGCTTAAGGCCTGGTTCTGAGAAATATTACCTGCACAACTGGGCTAAATAATGTTTCTGTCACTAGTTAAAAGATAAATAATTTGGGGGAGGGTGTTAAGAGAGTAGAATTAAGGAAGAGAATAGTTAAGAGGAGGCAGGAATGGGGGCAGGACTAAAAATCCCTAGTATTTTAATTTACAGCTCAAATTCTTGATATATAAGTTGGTATGTATTGATTCAGATGCAAAATGAGAGGGGGGAGAGGCTATTTTGTTTTATAAATATCAAAGTACATGCTTAAAGCTAAATTTTTACTCAGTTTATTTCACAGTATTTAGCTTGTCTAGAACAGCTGTAAGTTAAGCATTTATGTGTTTTTTTTAAAATACAGAGCCTTCTTTTTACTGACTTTTTTGAAGTTTGCAAAAATTAAAAAATTCTAATAATTGGGGAAAATTACATTCATCAATGTTTTGTAAAATATTGAAACTTCAGCCCTATGTCAATTCAGAGATTTAAAAAAATAATTAATTGTAGGAAAATAAAATATTAGTAAGAAACCAAATGTCACAAAAGGTGGTTTAGCTGTTGTACTAAATCAGTGTATAATAACATTAGGCTGTTTGTAAGCAATGTCATTACCTGGCAGATATACTTACTACACTGTAGACATTCACCATTTCTTATGCAGGAAACACAACATGTACTGCATGAGAGTGGATTTTCTAATTATGAGAGGGAGAGCATGCAAAATTGGTACTTGCTTTCTCCTTTTTAACCACTCACCAGGAAATCAGTCTGGCAGGGAAGGTGGGTGTGGTGAGGAAAGTTTTAAGGAGAGGAGTAGATATTGATTTTCATATTTTACAAATTTTCTTGAAAAATGTTGAGAGCTATTTGAACCGCCTCTTATTTGGTACTGGACCAAAAATAGAGAGGGGAACCAAATACTAGTTCACTATGCAATGGCAGAGATGGCCAAGGCCATGGAAAAAGCAAGAGGTTACAAAGACAGTTCACAAATATGTTATATCAAATATAGATGCCATCTTTTAAAGCCCTTTAAGTTCTCAACATATTGGGGGTGAGATGGGGTTTGATTAGTGGCTGCAGTAATTATAAGCAGAGCAAACTGAAATTCCATATAAGAATATTTTAATGGGATGATTCATTTTAAATTAATTTGGTTATCACACATAAACTTTAACCTATTTCATTATGTTTATATGGCCTTAAAATAGAATTATAAATTGCTATTATCTTTAATAATCTTGGAAGATGTGCAGTCCTGTGAAACAACCATACTTTTTATGTAGCAGCATATGACCAAAAGAAAAAGCTTTTAAATTCTACCATATTGTGTTCTTCATACTATGTTTTCTTTTATCTAATCTTAGCATCTCTCTACTCTTTCTCTAGAGTTAATTTCTAGGCTCTTAAAAATCTTCCCACACCTACTTTAAAAGCTCTAAAAAGCATTTGTCACCAAATATCTTTGAAGAATGGTAACTATTTTGTAGATTGTATTGAAACTTTTATTATTTCGCTAAAAAGTAAGACAAGTTTCAGCACACTGACTTGGAATTTTCTTGTCCCTGAAGACCAATCAATTTCTTAATTATTTAAGATTGATTCCACACTCTGTTTTCAAGGAGAGTGCCTGCATTCTCCTCTTATGTAGAGCAAGGGAATTTTTTTCACCCCCATGGGACTGGACCTTGAGGTGACTAAAAAAATGAGAACACAAATGCCTCAGTTTTATTGACCTTAGATTCAAATTAGAATGTTCTGTTGAAAAAATTATTTCTTGTGGGCCTTTTGGCAACTTCCCTTTTCAATGTAAAGAAAAACTTAGTCACCCTGAAAACCTACACACTAAATGAAACTTGTAGATGTGGGCAGAAGGTTTGGGGGTGGACATTGTATGTGTTTAAATTAAACCCTTTGTCACTGAGAAGCTGTCGTATGGGTCAGAGAAAATGAATGCTTAGAAGCTGTTCACATCTTCACGAACAGAAACAAACCACATGTCTCAGCTATATTATTTATTTTTTATGCATAGAGTAAATAATTTCTTCTGTATTAATTTCCAATGGGTTTTACCCTCTATTTAAATGTTTTGAAAAAAGAGTGCATTGACAATGAGTTGATATTTTTCTTTAAAAGAAAAATATAATTATGAAAGCCAAGATAATCTGAAGCCTGTTTTGTTTTAAAAGTTTTTATGTTCTGTGGTTGATGTTGTTTGTTTGTTTGTTTTTATTTTGTTTATTTTTTTGACATACTACATGCAGTTCTTTAACCAATGTCTTTTTGGCTAATGTAATTAAAGTTGTTAATTTATATGAGTGCATTTCAACTATGTCAATGGTTTCTTAATATTTATTGTGTAGAAGTACTGGTAATTTTTTATTTACAATATGTTTAAAGAGATAACAGTTTGATATGTTTTCATGTGTTTATAGCAGAAGTTATTTATTTCTATGGCATTCCAGCGGATATTTTGGTGTTTGCAAGGCATGCAGTCAATATTTTGTACAGTTAGTGGACAGTATTCAGCAACGCCTGATAGCTTCTTTGGCCTTATGTTAAATAAAAAGATCTGTTTGGGATTTATTTTTTATTTTATGTCTTACTGGTTTTCCAAAATCAACTTTGCACACATATTGCTACATCCTTTTCTAGGTGATAATTTTGTTACTACTGTAATTATATGGAAAGAGTATGAGAAACAGATTGAATGGGAGAGAAAGGACAAAAGCTGGAATGAGAGCTCAAATAGAAAAGAATATATATTGCTGTGCAGAGATTTGTAATGGGCTACAGATGCTTGTGGCAGCAATATTTATATTCATTTTGTTAATTTCCCACTTCTCAAACTGTAGTGGCAAGTAACATGAAATAAAGAGACGCTCCCTCCCTCCTCCTTCTCTCCTCTTTCTCCTTCCTTCTTCCTTCCTTCTCTTAATTCTTCCTTGTTTCCTTTCTGGCCAGGAATCTGGACTTACACAACAGAGCAAATAAAGCTAGAGAACTAGATGCATAAGGGGGAAAAAAAGTACTAGGGCCAACAGGACCAATTTGAAATCACAGAAGTACATCCAATAATGAATTGATTGGTCAACTTTTCTTTCTATAGGTTTTTCTCTAGGATCTGTGCCTATCCCAGAGTTTTTTGAGAAACTAAATTTTGTAAATGCTCATATGAACCAAGCTGTGCCCATTTTTTTTTTCTTTTATATATCACTGTTTTAACTACCCTGAACAGTAGATATTGTTATCCCAGCTTTTACTGATGAATCTGAGGCATAAAGTAAAATTAATTGGAACTAATATTCCAAGCCAGATCTATATTCAAATCTAAAGTTAATTTTCTTTTTGTCTTTTCATACTTCTATTTTATGTTAATTTTCTTTTGTTCTGAGAAAAAAAGGAGAGGTGGGGGAGAGGGGTTGAGTGTTGAAGACATCGATAACATTTTAACACAGTTTATACTCACCAGATAGTTCACTTGTACTTATCTCCAAGTGAAATGCCAAATTCATGTAAATTTGTACTAAACCCTTTTTATTTGTTTTAGGTAGAAAAGTTGCAAATTTAAAAAAAAATAGAAAATGAAGTTGTTATAGTTTTGCTTTATATTTATTAGTCTTATTTTTCTGTTCTTTTATTTTGCTAGAGGAAATCTTTTGTCCAAAATATTTTACTTTATGGGTCCACTGATTTTGTGTGTGTGTGCATATGTGTGTGTGTGCTGCATGAGCACATGAATTAACCTTAATTTCCTGCCAAGTTTAAAAATTAATGCATTATAAGAACTAAGTAAAAATTCCACTGAATCACAAATGCATAATACTATTAGGAAATTTATATGGATGTTATTGTAATTAAGGCAAAAGTAACAAAGAAAACAGTTGAGGTCAGGTATAGAAAAATTTATTAATATCTATATATAATACATAATATGTATATATATTGCATGCCTAACATATATGATAGAATGACTATGTCATCATTTAAAGGAAAATCTAAATCCAGTTCATATAGAGGTTTAATCCTTTCCCAGAAAATATTTGTCTGAGGATGTGTCCTAACAAAAGGACTAGAGCAGTAAAAATATTCCTCCTTGCATAAATCAAGCACCATCTTTTTAAAAGAATTCTGGCGTTTCTTTATTGATCCCATTTTGATTCTTCTCTTTGGTCCATGAAAAGGCAGAATTCATTAGAAATTCTTCATTACACCCTTTCAGGCTTTAAATGTCATCTAATTAGTGACTACAGTAATTAAAATAAGGAAGGCAAATTGTTTATCCACCAAGAGCTGTTTCAAGACTTCTTAGAACTAGACAACCTGCTTCACTTGACTATGACCACTTTCAAGAAGATCCTGTAATCCTAGGAGTTCCACCATAACTTTGATTCACTACAGGGACAACAGAATAATACTTTTCTTGCAGAAAACTTGACAGTTAAAATCTGAAAGTGGTTCTGGAGAATATTAGACCAACTAAATAAAAATGATGAATCTTTTAAAAACTGATTTCTGCTGGGGAAGAAGTCAGAGGGAATGTACAGAGAAGGGCCAATCCTGTCAGAAAAGAGCATTGAAAAAGCTACCCAGGGTAAGAGTTGGTTTGTTGCTCTAATTCTTACTGCCATGGTGGTGAGAGTGCCTGCATCACTGTCATGTGGAGGGACATAGTGCTCTAAGACAAATACTATAATGTGACAACAAAGACCCAGTCTAATATGTCTTTCATTAATGATGTTGTCCCAACACAGTTCAGTACCACAGCCTAGGCCATTTGAAAGGCTTAGTACTCACATGGGATAAAGGCAGTCATTATGGGGAAATTCTTCTATTGTGAAAGAAAGAAAAAAAGAAAATTGAACACTGCTAATCTATGCCAGAAACAGCAGGCCTAAGGCAGGAGGATGACAAAGCATTGTGCTTCAAAGTGTTTATTGTGCTAGAGCTTCCAAGCACTTTGAAGACAATCATCAAACCCTTCTAAATTGAACCAGGGAGCCTTCTCACCATTGATCTCAGCAACAAATGTTTGTG